ACAACAATTATATTAAATAACCATTGGGAAAGATCTTACTGTAGTGACAGATCTGCTTCATTTTTGTCTGTCATTGTGCTGTTTATCTGAGGTGAGACTTAACAGGAGAGGCTTTACGCATCAGTGATCTCAATGGCTCTGACAATGTCATGAAAGCTCAAATTTTCCAGATTCAGAAAGGTATAATAAATATTCTGATGGGTCCGGTTAGCTAGTCGTGTACGTCCGGGGAAGAGTGGTTCCAGAAATCAGGTAAGAAAACAAAAACAATATCCAAATAATAAAGCCAACAAGTTCATAACATGGTGAGAATGTGGTCAAAATCTGAAAACGAGGTAAAAATGAGACGAGGGCTTTACTGTTTTTGTACGGCTTTTGTAAATCGTCATTGGTTGGGTTTAGGGAAGGAAGAGGGTGGGTCAGCCAATTGGCCGATTGCACAGTCAGTCATTCTATCATTCAGACAGACAGACAGACAGACAGACAGACAGACGGAAGGTCGTTTGACAGCGGCCTCTGGTGGGTTTACGTGAGTACAGCACGGGCGCAAACGGGGCACGCGAGAAACGTTTGAGATGCAAAAAAGCGCGCACAGCGGCCTCACGCAGATTCGTAAAAACAAAAACTGCAAAAATATGTACCTCCCGGGACATATTTTGCAGTCTCCAGATATGTCCACGGGACTGCTTTTCAGAATGATCCTGGGTTTTCATTAGACGTTGATATTTGATTGATTTTAGGTTAGACGTTGGACATTGATGTTGGCCTGACGTTGGGATCTGATGTCAACCCGATTTTTATTTCCAAACAAAATGCAACGTCCCCATGACGTTGGGATACAACATCAGTCTGTTGTCATGTTGATGTCTTGTGCCTGCTGGGTGTTTAAGTAAATACAGTAAACATCCGTCATCTTCTTATCAGTGACATGCATCTAAGCAGACTTTGGATCAGCGTGTGTAAAGATTTTAGACTTCATCTTGGACACTTTTAATGCTTCCAAACAGTTTGCTGCAATATAAATCGTCATGTCTTGAGGTAGTTCATTATGATGTGATTTACCTTCTATGTGTGATTTAGCTGGACAGGAATTACAAGACTGGTTTTTCTAATATCCATGGACAGGAAAAATAAAGTAGTGACAGCAGATTGATGGAAAGTAGTGGAGTAAAAGTACAGATACAGCACTATTTATTGTACTCAAGTACAATGTACTCAAGGGAAAGTAAAACTACAAATTTAAAAAAAAATACAAAATAAATTACAATAGTAAACTACAATTCCTGAGAAAACCTACTCAATGACAGTAATTTGAGTATTTGTAATTAGATACTTTGCACCACTGCATATAGGTGCCCTTTAAAATGAATGAATGAATAAATGAATGATCAAAAAAATTGTAAGACTTGAGATACCACAGATACTTTGATGTCTTTGACAATTCAACCATGAGCTGAAAACACAGAGACAATCGGCTTCACAACCCACCAGGTGGGAATGCGGGAAAACCAGCTCCCCTCCTTTCCTCCATTTACATTTGAAACATCTCCCATAACCCACCTTGGTTACTCAGCCCCTTTTCACTCTATTCACACAGAATGGTCATTTCAAAGTCTGAATGTTCTAAATCAACCCAAGTGACTTTATCTATCATGTTTGATATCATTTGAAATATCTCAGTGCGACTGGTACAATAATCTCATTACCTCAGAAATAGACATAACCAAAACAATAAATATATAACCTCAGGTATCTTTTGAAACACTGCGAAGGCTGTGCCTTTCCTATAGGCAGAAACTCTTCCACTGAATGCAAATGCTTTTTGTTATTTAACACACCCCTTTCCCCGAAAGGATTCTTGGATTTACTACTTAAGGGAACGTTTCTAAACGTTCGATTTTGTTACACAGATCAGCCCATTTCGTGGAACGTCATGTTCCATGTTATGTATATTTTGAAGTCAGGTATTCATCTTTTAATCTTGGATTTATCTTTGATGATTTGATTTCTTGTATTGATCGTTTTTGAATTGACTGTATAAATTGGCATAATACACATTTACCTGACTGATAAATTATTATGTTTTGAATTATTCAAACAGAGTTTGTGTTATTATCTCTCGTAGATTACGTTACATCCATAACAACACAAGCCACTGTACAGGTTAGAAGTGGACTAAAACATTAGACGAAGCAACGTAGCACACTATACGATGTTCTTAGAGCTCTGACTAACACATTGGCATTAAATCAAGTATACTTAGATTGTAAAAGGGCAATAAGGGGTTTTCTGTTTAGAACAACAAAGTAATGTTGAAATCAATCTAAATGTGGGTAGGCCTTCACCTTTAAACTTATAATACTATTTAAATCATATGGTGATTACTCAAAGTTACTAATAGTTTAAGTAATGATTATGGTAAGATTAAATAGCTTTGTTTAATTTAGTAGATTCCAGATCTATGAGGACCTCATGACAAATATTCTAAACTTAGTAAGTAGAGTTCTGCTGTTTTAGAATTGTGGTTAATCGCCTCTGTTTAATGACCAAGACTGACATGCTAGTGCTTAAGACAATGTATACTCAGCCGGCACAAGACTCAGGATGTTATAGGAATCCAAATAAACGAGAAAAATGTAAAATATGGAAAGGCCGAACATGCAGTGAACCTTTATCCACCAGTAGACACTATACTATCATTGGACTTACTGGCTGAACCTTACAGAATGAATCAATGAACAGTCAGAAACAACTTTTTTTCAATACTGGTCATAATTACAACTGTTTCATTAATTTTATTTGCTTAATGTGAAAATTTCAAAAGGACTATGTAGCATTGAAGTGTCACATAGATTTGCTATTACCTAATTACATTATATTGTACCATGAATATTTTTAAATGAAATCATAGTAATGTTTTAAATTGTTTTAAATAAACGCTAAATTGTTGAACATAATACTTTAATACTGATCCAAAACTTTTGTGACAAGCTGTAGCAGAAAGTATTGTAAGTTCCAAAAAAGCTCCTTAATTACTTGTTTGCACATTGCAGTTGCCAGCTGGTTTGACATTTTGTAACTAATAATACCAACATACATTCCAGCAATTTAAGTGTGAATATTTTTTAACTGTCCAAGAATGTCTCAATACTATTTCAGGCCAGTGTACTTTTTTACCTTAATTTAAATTAGGCTTGACCTGTGTAATTGTATTTTAAGGGCAGCTTAAATTGATGTGCGCTGTTTAAATTAAATGAAAATATTTCTTGCTGTTGTAGTTTGAAAAGAGCAGTACAAATAAAAACAATTGAATAAAGAACAGTTTTGGTGATCTTGACCTATAGTCTGGACAAAGTGAAATGGAGATGCTCTTTTCTTTGGCATTTAGGAAAAGGGTGCCTTGTGATGGGACGCAGAAATGGTATTTACATTCCAGCCGATGCATGTCGGCTTTAACCCTTAGTCAAAAAAAATACAACTGTTTCTAGGAATGAGAGTGGTAATGAATGCGAACATGTTTGCATATGACATTGTTTATTTTGGCAGCCTCTCATCACACATCTGCTTTGTCTCAGTTTTCCACCTCACTCTCTTTTCACCCTCTCTCTCTCTCTGTCGTTTCTACATGTATCTTTATCCTCTTCTCAACAATGCTCTTTGTCATATCATGGTTTTGTGAATAAAACACTCTGTGATCGAGTGGTGAAATGAAAGCTTTGAGAGATCATGCCTCACAGGAAGTAGTTGCTTTTTTATTCAGATTTGGCATTTTAACAATATTGTCTGGGGATTTAAAAGTTACTGAAATTTCATGCTTACCAAAGTGGTTTCTTCAAGGATGATACAGAAAATTATAGAGGAGGAACACAAAAAATTTTAAAAAGCTCCCTAAATATTTATGCGTTTTAATTTAGCTTTTAATGGTAAAGACAATTACTAATTCGTTTTTGTTCATATACATACTGTATTAGAGAGGATTTTTTGGTTGGTTCAGACAACAAACAGATAACAATTTTAGTTGGTAATAGGTGGTGAGGGTAAAAGACTGACACATTTCTTTCAATTATAATGTGATTATATGATCGACTAAACATTTATATGGATATTGTTTACTGCATATTTTATCAACTCACTGTATAATTCTATATGTTATAAGATATCCTGTATAGCACATATACAAGATATAATATAATATAATATAATATAATATAATATAATATAATATAATATAATATAATATAATATAATATAATATAATATAATATAATATAATAATGATTAAATAATTATGTTATAATATAATATATAATTATTAGCCCTCTGTTTATTTCTTTTCCCAATTTCTGTTTAACTGAGAGATTTTTTCAACACATTTCTAAACATAACAGCTCTAACAACTCTTTTAACTGATTTGTTTTATTTGCCATGATGACATTAAATAATATTTGACTAGTAATTTTTCAAGACATTTCTATTCTGCTGAAAGTGATATTTTAAGGCTTAACTAGGTTAATTAGTTTAACTAGACAGGTTAGGGTAATTAAGCAACTTATTGTATAACCAGTATTTGTTAGACTAATGAAATAATACATAGCTTAAAGGTGCTAATAATTGATAAATGACCTTAAAATGTTTTTGTTTTTTTAAAACAAAAAATGTAAAGTTTAAAATTAAAAAGTGCGTTTATTCGAGTTGAAATAAAACAAACTTTCTCGAGAAAAAAAAAAAAAAAAACATATGCTGGATAAGTTGGTGGTTCATTCCGCTGTGGCGATGCCAGATTAATAAAAAGACTAAGTCGAAAAGAAAATGAACAATGAATGAATGAATAATATAATATAACATAATAAGCTCATCACACTTTTTATGCTGTCATGTAAATGTAATGTAATAACTACATTACATTATTAAATTATTAAAAAAAATAACTTTAAAGAGTATAAAAGACTTTTGTTCAGACTCTCCTTTTTTTGAAAGAACAGAAAAGACACAAACTCTTATCTTGGTATTTTTTAAATTGAATATGAAACAATCAGACAAGCAAGAATAAATTAAAAACAAATGCTGAAAATGGCTTATATGTACATCTGAGTAGCATAAATAAATAATCTTCAGAACTTCAATGTGGTTATGGATTTTATATAATCAACTGCAAACATACATGCATATATAACTTGATGCAGATTTTTTATATAAGTGAGGTACTCTGTCAGTCCTTACTGACAATTTTACCAAATCCCCACCCTGAAATAATACATTTTAAATGATATTTGCATCTCACAAATGTTATTTCATAATATATTTGAATGATTATTTTTTTCTAAATTAATTTAACTTTATATAAACAAATTTTACTCAACAGAGTTTCTACTTCTGCTCTTAAGATTCCCATCAAAGTAATTCATTTTATTCATGTTGGTGATTCCCAGTAATTAATAACCACATTAAACTAATCCTGTCCTGCAGAGAACTAACATTTTGTTTTGCGGGACATCAGTAAGGACCTCCAGAAGCACCTTTCACTGCTCATGTATGAGTGAATGTTATTAGACTTAGTGATATGGCTAAACACAATATGATAAAGACACATGCAAGAGTATAAGTGTCTGTGCAACACACTTTAAGTTTAAAAACATGCAAATTGACACTGAACATCACACTCGTGGGTTACATATGCAGCTCATATTGCAATAACTCACAAACTTCTAACAACTTATGATTCTAAGAGCAAATAATATACTGTATGACAACATCAATAGCATGGTCTCACTTTATGTAAGTGGCCTTAACTGATATGTATACTTAAACTGAGATTAATTAGTTGTTACAATGTACTTACTGTAAAATTACATGTTCTTACATTGTATTTTTGATTGATTATAAATGTGCATTTAATTACATCTGTAATTAATTTCAGTGATTACCTTTTTTATTAGCTTTAATGACCTCAAACCAGCCTTAAACCTACCGATACTACCAAACATGTTCCTATACCCATATCCCACCAGAGGTGTTCTGCAATACATTATGCACACGGTAAGTACATTGTATTTATTTTTTGATGCAAGTACCCAATAGTTAAGGCCACTTAATCTAAAGTAATAACATTTTGCAGTAATCACTCTTGTTTAGAATAATAGTTTATATGTCTTACAATGTGTTTATACTGTATATAATGTATTGTGATAAATGCTCGCTCAAATGTTTTGGGTTTCCATGACTTAATCGAAATGTGTTTTGGATTTAAAGTGGCATGGGAATAAACATTGCCTTTAGAATAAAAAACGATGTGCCCAGTGCTTTATATAGTTTCCCTCCTACTTGATATTCCCATCTTAGCGACTTTCAATAGCGGTAACCCAAACAACAAGTTCCCATAGACTGGAGCGCATCTTAACATGTCACGCTTTTTTGTAAGCATTGACTTATAGTGACGCTTTCAATACTAAGTGGGTTGTTTCCCCAAATCGTCTTTCGGTACACCATTTGGGCATTTTTTATATTAACACAGACGTTTCCAAGAAAAAAAAAAAAAAAAAAAACAGCCCACACTCATTCCCACCCATTTCCATTTCCCAGCCTCTTCCTTTTGATAAACATGATGCTTAAACGCTTAGGTCAGCGCGTCCTCATTAAAGAAAAATGACACAAAACCACCTCTGCTCTTAATCTGAAAAGCCATAAATTACAAGTAGGGACCAGTTTTGGTCTTTATTTAGTCTACAGGGGTCAGAAAAGAGTGTGACTCCAATTATCAGGACAATGTACAGAATTAATAGAGAATGTCAAGATTTTGAGGCGCTCAAAAAACTTTAAATCATACAAATTAGTTGCTTGCTAATGACAGATAACATTTCATCAGTGTGTATTATAACCCTTAAACCCCAATCTTTTTCTTCTTTTACTGAAGTTCTTGACATTCAGAGCACTGGGCAGGAATTACATTCATTTAACAGTTTGTGGCAAGATGTTCTTGTCAGCAGGGGGCCATTTCATTCAGCTGAGGGAAGATGCTGAAACAATATGTTTTGTTTTTCTTTTCGATCTCATGAGGAGTCATAACTATTTTACGTACAAATTAGCCACTAAATCAAAAAGTTACAAATTACTGTGAGCTTGCATTGCATTTTCAGTTGTGCCAAATAAACAGATGCGGTATTGTTAATCAGCTTGTACATCAAAAATTGCATGCTCAAAGTATTTTTCTTTTTTTTTTTTTTTTTTATGAGTTAAATGTGTGAAGTCTTTCTGCTGCTGGTCGAGTGGGTTTACTTGAGCAGCTCCTGGTACTGGTCAGAGCGCAGGAATCGGCCGAACGAGTCCTTTTCCATCAGGGTGTAGATGCGGCTCTGTGCCAGCTCAAAGGTGGAGGAAGAAAGATCCACCAGGTTTCTCAGAGTCACGTCTTTGGTGAAGTGGTCGATATTCACCTAAAGGAATGAAATTGGTGATCATAATAAGATGTGTGAAAATCTGTCTTGCACAACGTGCAGAAAACTGGACAAATGTAAATGAGTTAGAAACACATTATGTCAATTTTGACAGTGTGTGAGAACTCTAGGGGGGCTGTAATGTGAAGACTAGAATAGAAAACTAATGCAAGCACAGGCAAATGGCCAATTGGATTGATTCCCTGTGTGTGGGATTCCCACACACACGCACACACACAATGTGTGTATATATATTGGGGGTGCACAATATTGGAAAAAACTTACATTGCAGTGTTTTATTTTTCTGCAATGCATTTTATCATATAGAGTAAAACTTTAACTCCTGAAAAGAATAGCTTAATATGAAAATAATGAAGAACTTTAGGACTATTTTGGATGATGATAAGGTGATTTTGTAGAAGAGCGCATCTGCATAAAGTTTAATAAACTAAATCACAAGCGACAATAAATACAGTAAAGCAAAGTTACAAATAAAATAAATGTCTTGTGTTTTTTTTCTGGGAGTTTAACAGTATTCAGGGAGATAAATTAAATAATGGAATGTAAAATAACACTGTGTAATCTGCACATAAATACATCTTTCTTGAAGTTACAAAAATGTTAATTTCCTATGTCTTAAATGCTTTAAACTGGCTTGAAAGGCCTTAAAACACATGCAAATGACAATTTTGTGTGACTTTGTTAAACGTTGCAATTACTCATTTATTAATCATGTGTTTTCACACCTGCTAAACTATAATCCTGATTTGACATTGCAGACCCTGCGATGTAACTATTGCAGATGTGCACATTATGATATCAATGCTGAAATATATATATATATATATATATATATATATATATGATGTCATTTTTTCATATTTTTTAAAGAAAATTATTCTGTTCAAGGCGGCATTTATTTAATGTAAATAAATTGTAAAAAATGTATTAACATTTTAAATAACTACTTTCTTATTGTATGTAGTTACAAATTATTACTTCAGTCATTATTGCTTTTATTACTGTTACAATTAATAATAATAATGTTAATAATAAAAAGGTAAAATAATAATAATAATTAAGATAAGAGTGATTTATGAAGGATCATCAGTCTGAAGACTGGAGTAATGACACCGAAATTTCATAATTAAAATCTCTGTAATAAATTATTAAACTAAATTATAAACCACTTTTGAACAGTTATTTTATAGTGCAATAATATTTCACAATTTTACGATTTCTACTGTGGTTTTGATTATATTAATGCGGTCTTAATGAGCATGATAAGCTTATTTTAAAATATTTAAAAAATCCTATTGACCCAAAACTTTTGACCGGTAGTGTATATTTTTAATTAGTACAGAAATATTTGAAAAAGTGATTCATCAAAGAGTTGTCATATTTTAAATGATTAAAGTGTTTATCTGCCCTCGAGGAAAATCTAGTGGTTTGAAAGAGACAAGCAAAGTATAAAATGTTAAGTGCATTTTATTGATTTTAGAAATCATTATGGTCACTAAGAAATAAATAGCTCTTGCACAATGTTTATTAAAACACTCGCATACAGATCCATTACATAACAAGCACTTTAAATCTCAGCTATTGGCTGTGCAAACATCCTGACACAAATCTTTTTCAATAACGTGACTGTTTACTACATAATTTTTCCAATTGTTTAGTAAAACTGACAGTGTGAGTTTTAAATCGGAACAAGGTTATAACCCACAACCTTCTGGCTGTTAGAAAAATGATAGAAAAGTGACCTGACTGCTATTATAGTAAAAAACAACATTTTCATTAAGTTATATCCAACTCAAGATGCAGACATGTCAAATGTACGGTCAGTAAGATATATTTCAAGATATATTTCAGATGTAAAATCACAGCTATCAAAAATATTTAGCAAGCATTTAAGCAAAGTATATTCATGAATGTTTTTCTAACATTCCGAATATGCTTTTTTTAATGTTTAGAAATGTTGACTACTTAACCGTATGAATGCAAATCTATGGTAATGTAACCTTAAAACCTTTTTTGATGTCTTGGAGGTCAATATATTTTTAATCTTACTGTAGTTTATTTCCCTTTAAAAAAATGCAGAAACTCCATCACATCAAGTTTTTGTAGCTCCTTTGGGACTTTTAGGGGGTGAGAGCATGAGCCGCAGTGTTTATACAGTGATCTCAACAACTGATATGAAAAATATATTTTCACAATACACGAGTAAACTGTCTGGCAGAGTTCTGTTTCCTTCTGCCTATGAAACAATGTGATTTCTGGAAATCTTTGATGGAAATCTGAGTGTGATTAGCACACACACACACAAAAATCAATAACAAAACAAACAGACCTCTTTGGGCCCACCGGTCTGTATGAAGTCCTCATAAATCTTTTTAGCTTTGGTGGCCATTTTCAGAGGGTTCTTGGTCTTCTTGAAGTCCTCACAGGCCTCCCAGAACTCTATGTTCTCCTCACTGAACTCAGATCTCAGGAAGCTCTTGAAGGTGGCCAGACCATCTACGGAATAAAATAAAAATGTGGAAAAGCTATTAGGGAGTGAGAACAGCTTTGTGTGTTCTTCGTGTACTAATGTGTTGGTGACAGGCTGCCACCGGAAGCCCACGTCCCACCGGCTCTTAAAATCCTTATCCAAACATTACAGCCCTGCACGCCTGAGGCGCACAGTCCTTAATGCAGTCCCTCTCCAGCTCCTGTTGTATAACAGCAAGTGGCATTCAAGTGCCACCTGATTCAGCCCTGTGAATTAATCAATGTAATTATGCACTATTCAATGCAGATTTATTTTAAGACTTCTTATTGTTTGTATGAAACTGATTGTACCAAACAGACAAAAGAAATGCTCTTAAATTTAAATCCAACATATATTTGCAGACCCCCCTCCCCCCTGAGGAAAATTGTTACAATTATGCATAACAAACAGGCTTTGAAACAAATAATTGAATGAGTAACTGTTTGGAACACCATCATTATTTAATGCAATCCTTCTTTGTGAACAAATGGTCTTTTTGGCTTTTTGTTCATTCATAGGTTTGCTTGTGTTTGTAAAGATCTGACGTAATTAAATGATAATTTATTGCAGACAGAGATTGCACTTTACAATGGCACTATACAGAAGCAAATGCATAACATTATGTAACACGTTTCATCATTCTTATTATCTTTTTTCACAGATTCACTACCTATGGTTACTTACAACAAGAAGGTAAAAAATAAAGATGACTACATCTTATGGACTGACTTCAGAAGTTCTGGACTCTTATCACAGTTTTCATTGGCAATCGGCATAATACTGACAACTCTACTCTACAAATTACATTTGATGCTTTGTTGAAACTACTTATTTAAAATTATTTGAAACAAGATAATTCTTAAAAATTTTGGGGACAGCTTGTTTCATCTTAAATCTATTTAAATTGGCAAAAACAATTCTTTCATGTTACAGAACCTGTATTTTTTACAGTCATTTATTTTTCAGCATCATATTTAGAGAAATGAACAGGTAACAAAATTCTCACCAATAACAAATTCACATTGTTGTTTACAACTTATGCCTCAAGCAAATGTTTTGGACTCATTTTAAAAAGTTTATACTGTGAAAATGTATTTCTTTTATACTAATAGGGGCTCATTTTCAGAGTTGTAAACATGACAGCTTTGTTTTTCCACAAGAGGGATTGACATCAGGTGTGTTTGCTTCCAAACCGACTATTCATCAACACGACAGATTTGTTTCCTAGAAATAATGTAGACTTCAACCAATTAGATGATGACTTCCAAACTGATGTAGATTATTTTGTCAGCCTTAATCATTGAAGATTTAACCAACTGTCCACAAGGGTCAATGTCTGAGAATCAATCAAAAGTGTTTATTTGTCAATGAAAATATCAAAATGTTTGTTGCCTATGGCTTGAAGCAAACAGAAACTTCTTTTCTACATTAGTCATGTGACTAACAACTAAGAACACGTATCCTCTGTCTGCTCAACTAATGAATGAAAATTGCTATATTGCTGATAAAAGAAGACAAAACTAAAATGTAGTCAAATAGATGAAAACTAACTGACTGTAATTTTAGTCATAATGTTCTGCTTTGCTCCATATTTATTATGGTTTAGTCCAATGTACAGCTTTGCTTGGATTTTGATTTTGAGTCAGACCAATGTAATGCACTTAATTCATTGAAACAATATTTCACCTTTGAGTCACTGTAATTTTTGTTCATGGGCAGAATAAATATTATAATAAAAAACATTAAAAACATTTTTTTTTTCAACCAAGTCAATATTTGGGGATAATTTATTAAATACAACAATTAATAAATTGTAAATTAATTAACAAGTTACAGTAATTTTTTAGAGTTCTTTTTAAAAAAAATATTTTAGATTATTATTAGATTATTATTCAAGATTATACTTTCATCTAAGGTTAAAAAATAGTTGTCTACTTTGTACTAAAGTAAAAAATATATACTATTTATAGTGCCTCTGTTAACCAATATTTTTACTTTGTGTCAATGTATATGTTTTCTTGACCACAATACATATTTTTTTTCATTCAGATCAAATAGAATTTTAAAGTTTAAACTAAAGTTAAATTATACTTAGAGAAAAAAAACAACAACAACAACAGCAAAAGCTATCACAAATTCCAACAACTCTTTTAAGTTGTTTCAAAACTTTTTTTTTTTTTTTTTTTTTTTTTAATGGAGCTACTTTTCTCCCCCTCTGTAGCAAGATCTAGGCAAAAACACTCAAAGTGTGCTATGTCCTCATTCAGAAGAAGTGTGTTTGTAACTCAGAAAGGAGTCTTCTTTTTATAGACTATATAAACTACTGTTAGAACGTTGTTGTCATTAAAGGTTAATGTGCCCCTTCAAGCGCAAGTTGTTTACGCATTCCGAATCAAGTGCATCAGTGCAGCTCCATAGAAATCCAGAAAGACATAAACAAGATTTTATAATGTGCTTTACAGAGACATTTGATAAACCAAACCTTCTAATGATTGGTTAAGATGCAGCCAAATGGCTATGAAGGTAAACAATTACTTACAGCTGTTGGAGAGGACCTTATCAAGGGACTCGCGCCATTGGGCTGCTTCTTCAGGTGTGGCCCTGAACAAAACAGGCAGATTTATTCATTTAGTTACATTTTTATCTTTAGTGCAGTTGAAGTCAGAATTATTAGCCCCCTTTGTTTGCTCAATTTCTGTTTAATAAAGAGAAGATTTTTTTCAACACATTTCTAAACATAATAGTTTGTTCTGGCGATGCAGTGGCGCAGTAGGTGGTACTGTCGCCTCACAGTAAGAAGGTCACTGGTTTAAGCCTCGGCTGGGTCAGTTGGCGTTTCTGTGTTTGCATGTTCTCCCTGCATTCGCCCTACGGGTTTCCTCCCGGTGCTCCGGTTTTCCCCACAGTCCAAAGACATGTGGTACAGGTGAATTGGGTAAGCTAAATTGTCCATAGTGTATGAGTGTGAATGAGTGCGTGTGGATGTTTCCCAGAGATGGGTTGCGGCTGGAAGGGCATCCGCTGTGTAAAAACGTGGTGGAAAGTTGGTGGTTCATTCCACTGTGGATTAATAAAGGGACTAAGCCAAAAAAGAAAATAAATTAATGAATGACTAGTTTGTTCTGTATAGACTATTGAAAAATTTAAATAAAAAATTAAAAGCTGCTAGCAAAATAAAACAAATAAGACTTTTCCCAGAAGAAAAAATATGATCAGACATGCTGTGAACATTTCCTTGTTCTGTTAAACATCAGAAATATTTAAAAAAGGAAAAAAATTCAAAGGGGGACTAATTCTGTCTTCCACTGTATATATGGCCAACATGCTGTTTACGTGATTTCTGAACATCACAGTGTCATTGAGTCTTATTTACAGAGAGAAGCATAAAGAAATCAAAGGTATAACTCATCCACATTAAAATTTGCTAAATATTTACTCACACTCAAGTGGTTCTAAACCTTTATGAGTGCTTTCTTCTTTAAGAAGAGTTTAGATGTAAAAACCTCTAAATGTCGTCTGAAATTTTTCTCTAAAATGAGTATTTTACTCAGGTTCCTGTGTCATGTATCATGTTCAGTGATTTCACTTTTATGGCAAAGAATAAGTAATTACTCTAATTTTTGGTCTTTAAAGTGAAATATCTCAACATAAACAAAGCAGACTGAGAAAAATATTAATTTTTAAGGCAAACTTCAGAGGGCACTTTCAGAAGTTTTTACATCTGAACTCTTTTAATTAAAAAAAAAAAAAAACAGCCATTGGAATCAATAGTGGAAACAAAAATACTATGGCAATGGCAATGGCTACTTTGTCAAGCACTCTTCAGTATATCTTTCTTTGTGTTCTAGAAAACAAAACGAAACTCAAAAAAGAAAAAAGAAAAGTGGAGAGAAGTGGAGGATGAGTAAAAACTGGCAGAATTAAATTTTTTTGTGACACAGACACACACAGATATCATGTTTGTGTATATTTGTTGATATGAACAAAAATCTTAATGTGTTTACCATGCTTACATTTGAAGTACTGTAAAGTGCAATGGCATTGGCAGCATGCCTAAATCTCAACACACAAATACTAATATCGTTTTAGTACAATGCAGTTATACTAAATTCTTGTATATATGTATGGCCATTATTAAATAATTTTATTGGATTAGAAACACAAAAACCTTGACATAATTGTTACAATTTTTGTGGATTGTTAATTTCATTACATTATATAGTGTTATATAGTCAAGTTTATTTCACTTTGATTGAGTTTATTATTACTTTGACTCTTATCAGGGTGTCCACGGGGCCTTAAAAATCTTAAAATGTCTTAAATTCCAAAAACTAAATTTTAGGCCGGAAAAAGTTTTAAATTCACTAAAATATTGTCTTGCAGGTCTTAAATAATATTAAATGGGTCTTATTTTTATACTTTGTTTATGCAAAACTACCCGTACAATGCAACACACATTCAATCATGACAACACATCTGAATAAAACTTTTACCAAAAAGGTCTGCTAGTTTTGACACAGTAATTAAAATATGTTGCTAAGAAATAAATAATTTGATGGTGCATTAAAAAAGGCTTAGCGTTTAACCCATATACTGTATGAGTCAAAAAAATTTCATTTTTGATGGTCCTCAAAAGGTTGCAAAAGTCTTGAATTTGGTGAAACCTGCAAAAACCCTGTTATATTGACCTTATTCTCCAATGCTGAAGTGCCCTCGTTTTATTGATTGTTTTCAAACTTCCCATTTAGCTGCCTTTAAGGGAGAAATGACTAGGAATAGTAAACGGCAGAAAATGGTCAAACTACTTGCTCTACAAACAAGTGTTTTCAAGACTATACAGACAAAATAGAATAATATAATAAGAAAATATCAGTTTGCAACATCAAGCACCAAAACGAGCTGTTTTTATAACTAAAAATGAATGGACATGAGTGAAACTGAAAGTCTTGAGCCAAAAACATTTAAATGGCTGCGCCCGCTCGTACGTGTAGAATAAGGTGAATACACAACATATCATTTTAGACAAAACTATTTGAATGTAAATATAAATATGGACAGTACATTTTTTCTACTTTAGATTAGTGTATGGGTATTTTCCAGCACCAAGGTTTGTACTTTTATTGTATGGTAAAACAATTGCCATAGTTGGTGGCTCATAAAAAAAAAAAAAATAAAAAAAAAAAATAATAATAATAATAATAATAAAAGTCTTTTGTTTTATACAACTTACAAATCCCTTACAGTTACTGTTTCTCTACACAATGTCTTATCCTGTGATTAGAATCCTTAATCTTTTGTTGTGTTTTTCTGCCTGACAAAATACAAAGCTATTAACAAGACTTGCATAAGGCATTACGTAAGCAAAAAGGGAGCTGAAGTGGTCTGCAAATGTTTTTACGCTCAATTTGGACACAATTTACATTACAAACAGACCCTTTTCCATTACAGGATGTACCGTGTTTTGTTTTTCTGACGCCATTACTTGTTCTCTACTGTTCAGCCTTTTCCTCCACACCTCAACCTTTGGAGAATCTGATAATCTGTCTAATTATGGATGTGAATAGATGAATAGGTTGTTAAATTGATATATACGTCATGAAAAATTCACAATGGGCCTTAAAATACAGGGAGTAGGGAGCTACTTTATTGTTTCTTTACTAAGTTACAACCTCAAAATTTAATCAGTACAGTAAATACAAGCTTCTAAAATGTAACTTGAGACAATTAAATTACATCTCAAACATATATATATATATGATGCTTATAGAATCAAGACTTTTCCGCATGGGAAAAACCTGGGTTTCTGTTATGTCTGTCCATTGTGCAGTATAGTGGTTACACATTTTGAGACCCTTAAAATATACTTCAAAATAGAGCTCTTATAGGTGGAAGTCATCTCAGAATGATTGTTTGAAAACATCAAACAATCATCCTGAGATGATTTCCACGGTTAAGTGAAAGCAGAAAGTTCTGTTCAGCTCTATTTTGAGAGAAAGAAAAAACCTGAATGATGACTTCAGTCAGAAGAGGCCCTTAGTGTACACAGACTTTTTGGTTTAAATGAGTAAGTGATGCATGTGAGGAAACACGTGCAGATTTGAAGTCCTCATCAGTAACGAAGAAAAAAACAAAAGAGGAAGAAAGGAGAGGGGAAAAATGAGGAGAGGCGTAGGGAAAGTGAAGGGAGCCAAGAGGAACTCACTTCTGAAGCTTCTCTGGTTTCTTCTCAGGCTTTTCCTGGTAGGGGATAATAAGGTCGATGGAATTCTCTGGCTTCTGAAGCAGAGTTCCCAATTTAGTCTTGATCTCTTTAGCCCTGAAGACAACACAAACACAAATACATATAGATCACCATTAGCACTCTGTTTTAATTGTGAGAAAGAAAGTTTCCTAGATGTACAAAAAACTTAACAAATTATGTTTTGCTTTATTAAAGCTTGCAGTGAATTTACTAGATGAAACTTTATTGTACGGCATGGCTGGTACGGTTTTAATGCTATTGACTTAGTTGTAGCTGTAATCAGTACAGTAATTACAATAGTTAGACAAATGATAAAATAGCAAATGTTTAAGATGTTTAGAACATATTCAGAACTGTGTTGGTTTTTCTTCATAATAAGGTTTTATTTGATAACATTAGCTAATCATAGTGAGTAATATGTCTTTGTTGATGCATTTAAATCATGTTTTTCTTGTGTTTTTTGGTTTTTGCAACACAAATTTGTGTTAAATATACACAAATTCAACAAATAGATAAAATGTAATAATTATTGCATATTTTAATACAGCTGTTGGATTAGTTGATTTTCCACCCTAATATGTTATATGGATTATATGTATTAATTATTGAAGGTTTATTATAATACAGCTGTTGGGGTTGTCGATTTGCCACCCAAATATTGGTTGAAGCAGTCATTTGTTAAAGTGTCACATTATTTAGCTGATTACTGGATTTTCTCTTTTCAGGTTCATGTTATTAAATAAAACTTTTTATTTTGATCATAAATTTCATGCATGTTGAAAATACAACAAAGTTAATTGGTAGTTCCTAGTTTAACCTAGTTTCAAAATATAATACACACTAGAAAAAATAATTAGTTGCTTTTACTTAAAAAAGAGCAAACTGTATTTAAAAAGAGAGTAAACTAAAAAGACAGTATAAACTCATCTTAAAATTATTAACTATGTGCATAATTAAGTTAAGTCAATGGGTTTACTGACTTTTGAAAGTAAAATCAACTCATTGCTTTTAAGGCAACACGTTTACTCACTTTCTAGGTAAAGTAATTAATCTTTTTTTTTTTTTTTTTTTTTTTTTTTACAGTGCACCATTTCACTACAAGTAAGAACAGATGCAATATCTTTTTATAAAACAGTTTTGTGACAAATACACATATTTCTCCTAGATGATAGCAAATGCAGTGACGTCAGGCAATCTTAGTGATTTGTTAAAGTTTTGTGAATCTTGCTTCCACAGGCAGATTTATTGCTGAACAAAAATACTGACGTCAGTGCACATTTCTCAGCTTCACATATTAAAATTATGATTTTATGGTTTAGTTATACAATGCAACATTATAAAGCACATCATGTTGCCATCTTAAAGCTGTCTATCTGATGTACAAATAGACTTTTCATGAGTGATCCAGGCCACGGGCCAGGTTTAAGCCCAAAGCCAAGAACAGTGATAAACATTTGTTGACACAATGAATGAGCCAATAGCACAAATCAGAATATGACTCAATATTCACAATAAATGCTCTCATTACTAAACTTATTTTATGCTCTCATGAATTCTTATATCTTGTTTTGAACAGAGATTAAGCAAAGTTAACACTTGGGAATGTTCGTGTTTGTTGAGGTAAAATGAGAATAGGGTTGATGCTGCATATGAGAAATGTAAGTGGAAACAAAAGATAAATAAAATCCAATGTTTTGATCAATGTTTTTCAATTAGTTTCAGAAAATTAAGACATCATAAGAACAAAACAATTTAAAAAAAATTAAGAAATTGCAAGAAAAATCCAAGATATTTGATCAAACTTTGCTCTATGTACAATTATCAATTGTTAATAACTTACAGATCTCCAATACAATATGGCTAGAAATAAAATAGCCAAAACACAACTTTAAACCCAAATAATAAATCAAATCATGAATAGGATCAATACTCGCTCACTCATACAAACACAATAATGTTCAATAAATTCAAAACATAGCTAGAAGATACCCAAGAAACTCAAATAATAAATAACATGTTTAAAATTCACCAGAGTGCATTTTGAGCATTCCCAGCTGTTCCAGAATACACAGTTATTGCAAAACATGAGAGCTGAATCCCAGTGGAGGCTGTCAGTTTTTAAAAGTAATTGACTTAGCTGACACAGCATGGGATGAAGTCTAACTAGTAATTCATGCTAAAATGTTGTACAGATCTTACCTCTCCAGACATGTCTGGGGCAGGGCAGCTAATCCCTTACACATTTTCTGAGTTGTTCACTTGAGTTAGTCCACTACCATTAGTTGTTGTCTCTTCTCTCTTTTAGAAGCCGTCGTCCTGCTCGCCTCTTAATATATGGAGAAAGTCTGTTGGCCTGAAGCCAAAAACACGAGAACCAATCAAGTCTTGGCTTGCAATTACAATGGGAGAGCTGTGAGAGCTCTGGAGATAATCAACACAAGAGAGGAAATTTTGGACTTGCCAGAGAACTGAAACATCAGTCCACGGCACTTTAGATCTGTATCTATGCCTAGCAACAGAAACCTGAACCAGTTATTACGATGAAAACATAGGCTTTTTAACTACTTTTATTGTAAGTAAAGCTGACATCTGTTTAGTATCGGATAAGTTGACATGCTTTATTGGATTTTAGGCTTTAGTTTTAACATGAATAAATATTTAGCTTCATCTTGGAGAGTCAATTTACTAACATATACTGTAGGCTATACTAAGTATGACTATTTACTGACGTAATCATAATCTGGATGGATCCAACTTTATCACATACATTTACAGATATGAACGTGTTGTTAAAATGTCAAAGTAAAGTAATAATAGCAAAACTTAGTAGTCTCTTAAAATGTTACATTAACAATACATTGGCAAATTATTTTTTTAACAGTAACAAAACCTGCTTTTCTTTGTCATTTCCTTAAATTTAATATATTAAATCAGTAGAAATATGGATTTCAGATGAATGTCTTTTTGATTGTGTGTGTATTTATACATTCCACAATTTCACTGAAGTTTAGTATAGCAAAATATTATTTCCGAGGACTGATAATGAAAAATATTGTCACAGTATTGTCTTGTCTGCAGACAGATAAATAAACTTCCGATTTCATGGTTTGCTAGAACATTCTTTGCAAAGATAAAAAAGCAATAGAAAAAAGGAGTGGGGGAAAGCAAAAATCAATCCAAGCCAAAAGTGGCTTGAGCATTGTAGTGAAAATTCAATATGACCAACAATTATTAGATTTGTGTAAGATTTTTTCTACACTCTCAGAAAAAAATGCTACAATGTTTTCCAAAGAAAGTACAAACCCTTGTCACTGGGGCAGTACCTTTTTATGGGACAGAACTGTATAGCTTAAGAAAAAGAAACACACTTGTATCATTGCAGTTTGTACCTTTAAGTACATGATTTGTACCATGGGAAACTAAATTGCGCCTTTGTTTTTTAAAACCTGCAGATACAATAGTGTACCTTCATCACTGGTTCAAATCTGATCCATATAGGTAACAAGACCATTTGTACCATAGCAGAGTCAAAATGTCTTCCAAACATTTATTTAAAATTCCTTAAATGTTTAGTTTACAATATCTATAGTTTTGTTTTACCAGTTGTTTTGTATTATAGAACTTAATATTTAATGTTCATGTTTTTTCAAACTTACTTTTAACTGATAATTCTTGTTTTAATATGGAAATTATTCATAAAATCACTTTGCCTCTTCATCAATATTTATTTTCATAGATGTTGTGATAAAGAAGGAGTTGTTCAAGTTGTTCAACACTTTTGTACCTTTTAAATGAGAGCAATTGTGTACCTTCATTTCAGTTATGATAAAAGGTACAGGACAGTTCCATAAGAGGTCTTTTCTGTACCAAATAAGATACAACTTTTGCAAAGGTATAAAACTGTTCTTCAAGAACATAATTTGCACCAACATGTACCTGCTTTTTCTGAGAGTGTAAAGTTTTGTTGAATCTCTATAAATATGCATAAATCATTTGCTTCCATTTTATCCTCATTTTGTGTTTTATTAAATTACATAATTGTGTTGAACAGAAACACTCTGTAAATGTCTCTCTTCTGCTTCTCGACCCAACCATCTGACTTAAAAATCCCATTACCGTCATCTTAATATAAAAAATAGCAAATTGTTTACCATATGGTCTGTGTCTGACTTGCATAACATCCCCATACAATCTATTTTTACAAAATATAAACAAAGAGTGAGAATAGAAGCATCACGCTAAAGTGATGCCACTCTTTGTATCAAGATATATTTAGTGTGAAATAGATTATTACAAGTCTGCAGTGTTGAATAATGCAAATGTAGCTGGAGGCAGTTTACAGATTAGATAAACAATGAACAGTTGGTAGGCGAAGACTTTGTGTGCATTAGACACGTATGATCAGGACAGAACCTGGGACCTTTTTTAATCATGATAAAAACTGTTAACATCTGGCGACAGAGTGCAATGGACTAAAAAATTAGCAGTCTTTGTTTTGTCAAGCACTTGTGCAGTCAGATAAGATCATCATGGAATACCACATATAGCAAATTCCCATCATAAGTGGGCATCCCTATGACATAATCACTTTTTAGTGCGCACTGTAAAATACGTCAATATTTTCACTTTGAATAATAACATGACAGTGTAAAGCTACACGTGGATCTCTTATTATTGGTTTTAATATGCTGCAAAAAAACAACAAATCTTTTAAAAACATAGTTTATTGCACTGTAAAAAAATCCATTATTTTATGTTTTATTTCCGTCAAGTGGGTCGCCTAAAAAAAGTTAAATAACAGCCATTAAATTACAGATATTTATCGTAAAATAACACACAGTAAATTACAGAAATTTTCTTAAATTTAAATTTCCGGTAATTTATTTCATTTGCTGTCTGGTTTTTTACAGTAGATTTCTGTGACTTAACAACAGTTATTTTACTTTTGCTTTGGCACCCCAGCTGCTGGAAAAAAATAGCATAAAATTACAGATTTTTTTTTACAGTGTGTGTTTTCCCTACTTACTGTATAAAAACATCATATGAAATGCCTAGTATGTCACAACAAAACAAAATGACTCTCTTTATATGAAGAGTTTAGAAGCAAAAACCTCTTAATCAGTGGTAGGGAATCCAAGGCTCATGAGCCACATGTGGCTTTTTGACCAAAATACGTTGCTCTCCAGCTTTCTACCTTCAAAAATATTTTACACTATACATAAAAATGTATAACTGTCACTAGACAGTTCCTATAAAAAACACAAATACGATTCCCTTTTTATTGTAATTATACATAGCAAAATGAATAAGTACTGTTTCAGCCAATGGGACACCAATACATGGCAAACAACTTACGTTTCTAAGTAACCTTGTACATGTACATTCAAACAGCATTTACGAGTGGTGATGGCGAAAAGAAAAAAAATCTTAAAAACTGTCCTTTCTCTATTCATGCACTACTCAACGTGAGGCTTCATACTTGTTGATTTTTGAGTTTTGCCTGGACATAAATAAAGGTGGAGGATGTTGTAAAAGGAGTATATTCATTTTCTTTTCTGCTTAGTCCCTTTATTAATCTGGGGTTGCCACAGCAGAATGAACCGCCAACTTATCCAGCACGTTTTTACGCAGCGGATGCCCTTCCAGCCGCAACCCATCTCTGTAAAAACTATCTTCTCCTGGAATATTACCATTACAATGTTAGACAGCAACAACAGATGTCTTATTATCTTTGTTAATATTTTGCTAATAAAAACACATTTTGTAAAAATGTTTTAAACTGTGCTGTAACATTTCACAATGTCAATACTTAATGAATAATAATGTGCTAAAATTCAAACTAAACAATATTTTATTTTGAACCAATGATTTGAGGCATGCACTAATCAAGAACTAACAATAATTAATCAACCCAGGGTCATTCCGAAATAACACCGCTATATACTGACTGACTGACTGACCAATCGACTGACCCACTGTCCTCCTTCCCCAAACCCAACCCATAGTGTCTTCAAAAGCAGAGATTGACCTGCCCATCCACTTCCCTAAACCCAACCAACAGTTTTAAAAAAGCAATGCAGGAAGAGAAAAGCCCACATTTCCAGATTTTACCACATTCTCACCCTGTTACATACTGGTTTATTTTATTTTTCGGCTTCTGTTTTTGTCTTACATGTTTGCTGGAACTATCCTTCGCTGGACTCGAATCCCATAGTCATGATCAACTACTCTCTGTGTCTCAGGTCCGCCAACATAGATGGCAAGTTACTGGAAAAACTGGCAACAGTGGAAAAGCTGTCCACATGAAGGTAAGCAGTCAGCTGGTAAGCGTGAAAAAGAACGATGTCGTAGTGCCTCATCATAGCGTTCATTTTAAAGATGTTTTAAATACATACTTCTGGCTACACAATTCGCGATCTTCGGAAATGTATATGGCTATGTTTTCAGAATAAACCTATGTTGTAATTATTTGTTAGTTCATGTTTATTCTATTATTTAACACCTAAATATGCACAACTGTCACTTTTAAACACAGGTCGTTCAGTTAAGACTGAGTCCCCTTTAAGTCAAGTAATGACATAACGATACATTAACAGGTCTGTTCATGTTTGTTACATTTAGCTAAATCTGAAGTGTTAATTAACACATTATTTAACAAACAAGGAAGACATTATTCACACATGAAGTCATGTGACTCATGTTGAAGTTAAAGTTAGTTCATAGTTAGTACATGCATTAAATCATCATTATTTCATAATAAAGTAACATTTACATGTTAATTTGTCATTATTCATGTACTGTTATCAACATAGGCTCATTCTGAAAACATAGCCCTATATATAGTACATTTCTAGAGATTATGTATGAAGTAGCCAGAAGAACGTATAGCTGCATTACGTCTTTAAAACGAATACTATGGGGTGGCTCGATGCCATTCCTTTTCTTGCTTACCAGCTGAACGCTTGCCTTCGTATGGATGGCTTTTCAGCTTTTATTAATTTGTCCAGTAGCTCGACACATACATTGGTGTACTAGATATGCAGAAAGACCGACTGTGACGATGGAGTTCGTGTTAGGTAAAGAAAGGTTCCAGAAATCAGCTAAGACTAAAACAAAAGGCAAAAAATAAAATAAACAAGTAAATAAAAGGATGAGACTGTGGTAAAATCTGAAAATGTGGTCAAATTTAGTCAGTCAGTCAGTCAGTCAGTCAGTTGACAGCAGCCTCTGGTGAATTAACGTGAGAAAAGCAGGTGCAAATGGCGCTCGCAAAAGAAATTTGACATCTGAAAAAGCACAATCAGTGCCCCTTGCAGATTCCTGAAAAAACAAAAACTCCTGGGATGTATTTGGCACTCTTCAGAAATGTATATAGGGGTTTGTAACCGGTTGAGCCTGGGTTGA